GAAAGCTCTTCGTCCCTGTATGGTTTGATCGAGATTTCCAGATTGAATGGCTTGGTCGATTCGGACGGCTCGTCTCCTCGATCATGACTCGTTGGACCTATCAACACCAAAACAAAAGAGAAAACGCGCAAAAAATACGAAAACACTATACAAGAGCGAGAATATACGAAACACGACAAAATGGACCGGACGAGCCTAAAACGGACCTAAAAACCACAAAATAAAACACATAAAACACAAGAAAATAAGGACAAAAACACAACAAACACATATTGACGTAAAATTAATTCTCTAAGATCCATAAGGTCTACAAGTAATTATTTCAAAGGAAAAAATGAACTATATAAACAAAAAATTCAAACTAGGCATTGACTTGATATATAGAACTAGGTAGAAATCAAAGTTGATCAATAGACACGAGTTAATTAATTTATTGTAAAATAAATTAGATTAAAGGCACAGATTGCGCATGCTAGCACACAGTAGCAACAAAGATTTGGGTCATAATCAATCTAAACACGCCAATTTTATTTATTTATTTATTTTTTTTTACTATATATAAAGAGCATGTAATTTAAGACACATACATACAAGCAAATTAAATCGCCTTTTTTAGACATATATATAAGATGATCATGAACACGATGCGTGTGATCTTCATGACCACTCTGTGGATCCTTATCATGCGTCCTCAAAGCGTCTGCCCCGCGTCAATTAGAGACGGTTTGCGAATTATGACCCTTTTTTTTTTTATTTTTTTTGGCATATTATGATTAATTCATATATATCTGATTCATTAATTATTCCATTGGTTTTGTTTGACACAGGCAATGCTCTAATTGCCTTCAAGAACAAATTAAATGATCCTCGAAAAGTTCTTAAAAGCTGGGGCGTAGCAACGGACAACTATTGCACTAATAATTGGCACGGCATTGTTTGCGACCACTACGAATACGTGTCTGCAATGTATGTGTCGTCTCATTTTCGATCGTCTACTCAATTCACTATATAATGCGTGTCTAGCTAATCTGTGTACTTTATCATTGTCTTTCAATTTTTTTTTTTTCTTTTATTATTATTTTCTTAAAAAAAAAAATTCTCTTCTTGGTAGTGTCCTTAATCAAGAAGGGCTCAGAGGCCAACTGGTCCCAGAACTTGCAAGTTTGACGAGGCTGGGGACTTTGTAAGTGATGTTTGCAACTAATTAAGATGATATCTCTTTATTATTATTATTATTATTATTATTATTATTATTATTATTATTATTATTATTATTATTATTATTATTATTATTATTATTATTATTATTATTATTATTATTGTGTTGGGTTTAAGAAAACCGATTGTACGTACTTATTTTGGGGGTGTCAGGAATGTGGGTTACAATAATCTGAAGGGAACAATACCTTATCAACTTGGACATCTTCCGAAATTGACTTACTTGATTTTAGACCACAATCAGTTGAGCGGTTGGATTCCGCAGCAACTTGGTCTTGGTCCTAATAACTTGCAATATCTGTAAGTGATTCACCAACATGTACAGTACAAAAGCTTTTCAATTTTGCAATATCTGCGTTACAATATTGTTCCAGCTTATAATTTTGACGTGGATCGATCGATTTGCAAGGACAGTTATCTACAGAATAATCAGCTGAATGGCACCGTACCTGTTGTTGCACTTAAATATCTCCATGATCACAATCATGCTACAATGTGAGTCCTTTTAATTACCTAAGCAGAAAGTGCATGCACAAATTTATGACCGTCGGATCATTTGAAATTTTACATTTTTTATTCATTCAATTTTTAGAGTTTGCGCGATTTCGAGTTTCAGTCTCTATCCAGTTGGAGATGTGATGGTCGGATCATTTGAACTTTTACATTTTTATATTTCTATGGCCAATTCGTGCGAATCCCTTGTCCATAATTAGTTAGCGAGCTCTCGTTTGTATTCGTCTATCCACAAAACTCCTCATCTTATTTTAGGTTTTGTGTTGGTAATGATCACTGGAAAGCGTCAGTTTAAAACAATAAAAGTCGATGTGCAGACATTTTTTTTTTTTTTTTTCAAGCCAAGCAAGAAAATTTATAAACTCAAACATATTGTCTTACAAATCGAGGTCTAACTAGGCCTAGCTAGTAGCAGATTGATCCCAAATACACTCAGGACCAACCGGCAATAGGAAATTAAATTACAAATCCCCTTGAAGAGCCATTTTGGCTAAAGAAGTTGAGACTATACATTCCCCTACATCAAACAAAAAAGAACATGCAGGAATCAAAAGACCTACAACAAGAAACAAAATTCCCGATAGCAGTCTGATTAGCTTCCCGATCTTCCCAAGATTTTGTAGCACCAGTTCACAGCTTCCCGTTGTTCAATATTGCATGTGACATTCCTCCAACTGTGTTTTCTTGCATACTTCAGAGCCCATATAACGTACACCTGCAGCATACGCCTCCACTGAATTTCGAAAGAAATCCCTAAAATGTGTCCCATAGCTGCAAATCCTTTACATCAAAAAAAAAGCTCTACCTCCCATCCCCAGCCTCCCATGAATAAAAAAACAACTAACTCCCATAAGTTAAATATTGTTTCCAAATTAATATATATTTATATATATATTACTCATTAACAAATTGCAGAAAATATCAACAATTTTTTTTTTTTTTTAGCAAAATGCTCCTGCTAGATAGCTACACATGATATTTTACAATTTTGGCCACTATATTTCTATTAGACGCAAGCTTTTTAGCACGTAACACATTGTTTGTGCAGCAATTGTAAAGGCAACCAAGGATTGTGCGTCCCACCAGATAACAATAATATGTGTTGCTGATGATGAGATTAATTGATTCGCTCAACGCTTCTTCACCAGTAACGTTCGGTTCGAAAGGCATCACATACACACATACATGATGCTTAATTAATTGAATTAACTATAAGCTGGTGAATCTTCACATCAACTATATATGTACCGCCACTTTTTAATTCAATTAATAATTGTCATTTCAATTCCAATAAAATATTGTAATGTTTTCGTTGAAATTTCATCTTTTTCTTATTGTCAATCGGACATGTTTGTTGAAATATATTAATTAATGCTAATTCTCGAACGGAAGAATATTATGATACATCATGTCTTGTCAATTAAAAAATTCATAATAGAAATATTCTTCAAGAAACAAGAAAGAGCTAGCACATGATATACATCATGATACAAGAAATTATCGTGATTTTTCACGTTTGGTCGTCGACCAAATGCTGTGAGTCTTTATGTTGGGTCGTGCCTTACTAATTAGTTGTTTTCAGACCTATGGGAGTTGATTTTTCAAAGTTTGAACGGGTCGAAATAACATTATCTAACATATATACATTATGATACAAGAAAATGATGAAATTTTTTTACAAAAAATTTTAATGAGATATTCAAATACAATTCCAACTGTTATTTCAATGAATATGTCAATTGTCATTTTCTCCGTTGGAATTTTTAAAAAAATTTCAACTTAATATATTTTGTTGGAATGTGATGAATCTAACAAATTTCAACTCAATATATTTTGTTGGAATGTGATGAATCTAACGAAATTTTTTTGAAAATAGAAATAATATCACTTGCTAACACTAGATATTTCACCAAAACATTTTCTCGTTTATAAACTATTGGAATTATCGAATTCCAATCGAAATTTCAATGAAAACTTATTCCAACTGAAACTATACCATTAGAATATTGTCGCAATTTCTATACAGTCCAATATCGCTTTTGTTTGGACATATGAACCATAAACATGAAACTAGAACTAGAAATCAAAGTTGGTCAATTGGCACGACTTTTACTGTCAAATAAATTTGACAAAAATATATTCACGCGTGAAAAATTGTATGCATCTTTTCAGAAAGTTATAGGCTTTAGGGGAATATGGTTTGAAGGCTTTTGACAATAAATATGAAGGTTTTGTAAAGAAGGTTTGATTCAAAAGAGAAATTGACAAACAAAATGCTTTAATCATTGTTCAAAACCGTGTTATTTGAGTTAATTGTGGGCTATTCAATATAAATAAATTGATTTTAATTTGTTTTATTTCTTAAAGTCAGTTTATTTTGAATAAAGTTTTTTTTTTTCCAAAACGATAGATGATTATTTTGAATAAAGTTAATTAAGCAAGATTTTAGGTTTATATTTAAATAATATTTACAATGTATTGGTTTTAGTTGATATGAAATATAAATAGGATATTGGAAATAATGGATAGTTAAAAACTGTTAAATGGCAGTTTTGATACTCAAAGTAAATGTCATTTTGAAATTAGTACCCATTTTGAAACATTTGTGAAATCAGTACCCAAATTTTCATTCTGTTAGCAATTTTAGTACTCGGTCGTTAGATTTCTGTCAAATTTCTGTTAGTTGTTAATGGAAGTGATAAAAAGGAAGAAATTTTTTATGTTTTTTTGGCTCATGATGAAATCTATATATATATATATATAAGACATTTGTGCCATTTTTTTCAACTGCCTCCGCTCTTTATAAGAAAAAAATTTGGAAAATTAACTACATATATTTTGTGATTTTCATTTTCATACAGCATATTTGTTCTTGAATGTACCCATTTAAGAATTCGAGGATATTGTATGATTTAGCAGTTAGCACACCCTGGAGATACACACCCTTGAGATCTCAATCATAAACTATATAGTATTGAAGCTAAAATAGAAGGGTGATTACTCCAGTTATATAAAATCAACTACATGCATGTGTATATTATACATAATAATTTCTAAAAACAAGAATAATTATCACAATAATATAGCTTCATACAATAACACTCAAATCATAACATATCTAAAAAAATATATGCTCACTCGCCGGAGGGCAGGCCGGTGAGTCCGCCGTCCACCACCAGATTGTGCCCCGTCACAAACCCGGCCTCCCCAGACGCCAGGAAAGCCACCGCCTCTGCCACGTGCTCCGGCGTCAGCTCCGCACCTTTAAGGCTCGTGTACGGCCCCATCGCCGCCTCAACCTCCTCTGCCGTCCCCAAACCCATCCTCCCCGCCAGTGCCGTTGGCACTGCCGCC